TAAAAATATTGTAAAAATACTAAATTACAAATGCTATATTCATAAATTATAGTTACGTTGAAGATATTTACCATATTGTCTAATTATGTAAACAGCATTTTGGTGGAGCTAATTTGAACTATTTTAATTTTCATTTCTCTAAACATACAACAATGCATGATAAGACATGCTGAAAAATCTGTTAATCTGCAAAGTAATTAGTAACTACAACCATCAAATACATGTTCTGAGGTAAGAAGTGAAATATTTCCCTCTAAAATGTTAAGTAAAGTTAAGGACACAAGTGGAAAAGAGCATGAAATGGAAATAGTGCCTTAAAATTGCACACTGCAAAGCTATTTTAAAGGGTTAATTCAGCCAAATAGTAGAAAAGTCTTGTTTTTATATATACTTTTAAAATCATTTTCATTATTTTCTATATATTTTTGTCCGTTATATAACCTCAAGCATGTAGCTCAACCATTATAGAGGACTGGCAGCTGGTATTTTTGTGCAAAACTAAATCTGGTTTATTATGTCAGACCATTTTAAACACATCACACAACATAAACATTTTGATAAACAAACAGTACTTCCTCTAATAATTCATTTTTCTTGCAAGCAGCCAACTAAATTCCACGAGTCTCTAATGTATTGGAGTGACGACAGAAATTTCTGACATCCAAGCAAACAGTGTTTGCGTCTATATGCATATGTGTGTATGTTTGTGTTTTTAGCATGTATGTAATTAAACGTACCAGCCCTCCATAAATGCTGCTTGTGTACGTTGGGATAAATATGCGCTGCAGCTAATTAGTGGCGTTCACTTTCCCACGTACAGTAGCGGCAGGTCAGGAGGAGGTTCAGGGAGGATCAAACCACGATAAACTCTTCGTGTCAGCGAGACAAGCTCAGGAATGAAGGGGGGAGTCATGGTGCCGGTGGGGGAGACAGAGGTGGGGGAAAAAAAGAAAGAAAGGACAAGCGATGAGAAGCAGATTGTAAATGTGGAGAGACGCAGGTGTGAGGAAAAGATGCGTGAGATAGGAAGAGAGAGATGAAAAGATGTGAAAAGGAGGATGTAAAGCAAGAGACACGAAGACAGAAAACAAGAAAGAGACAGATTGACAGACATGAAGACGAGAGCCGCTGATTGACTGTCCAGCATGAAGGAACTCCTTGTACGCTCCAACTTTTATCCGTAAACCCTTCATAGCTGCTCTCAGACGAAGCTGGGAGTGACACTAATTGGCCATAATAACCAGCAGGGAAATAGCAGCGGACGAGGATTCTGGGTAATGTGAAAATGATGATAGAAACCGACTGAAGGACGTCTGTGTCTTAAATCTATGTGCAGTTATCAGCAGAGATATGTGAGGGTCCAGGGAGGTCAGGACAGACGGAGGAGCTTTCAGACTGTGGGAGTGTGTGGGGGGTTGTTGTAAAACTGTCCCTTTGACTTTGACTTTAAAAGCATGTTTATAGAGACGTTTTTGCGATGTTTACAATGTTTGACAGCCTTCAGCTACACACGGGTAACTTTAGAGTCTGAGTTTAATTCAGGATTACATCAGGATTAAACCTGAATTAACCTGAAAGCTGCTAGGATCAATGTTATTTTTTATTAGCAAAACTATGACCTGAGAAGCTGCTCACAGTGAAAAGGCTGTATAATACCCAGCAACAAAGGGCGACCCTGTAAAATTTGAAGCTTTAAGAGGCAAAAATTCACCTCAAATCCATGTAAATACAGAAAAAAGTAACTAATGTGGGAGAATATTTGACCTATATTCACCAGCTGACAATAAATATGACTCCAAATGAATGTAAATGTCACTTTGTGTTTGCAGGATATGTAAAAGAAGCAAAAAAAACCCCAAAACAATAGATTATTACCGGGTTTACAACATCGAATTATCCAGGGTTAGATCGAAATTAGATGAAGAGTTAATATTAATAATAGTAAGATACTACTACTACTACTGATAATAATACTATTAACTAAAAAACAAGCAGTTGATCTATTGTTATGCTAAAAGTGCAACTAAGTAGCTCTACACAGCCAACTCTAAATCAGTGTTTTGTTTCTGAGTTACACATTAAAGAATAATTCAGGTTCATTTTAACCTGGAATATTTCCGATTCATGTGCTGCAGTAGCTCTGTGTGCTAACTTTGCACACAAAACAGCATGTAAACAGCTCGAGGTGACCGGCATAAGCTCTCTGCAGCTCTCCAAAAAAAGACCAAAAAACTTTTGTACATTACTAATGTTTAATGGTTGTTTCTGAGTTTGAACTTAAGTAAAAACAGAATTTGCCCCCCGGATCGGACGTTTTGCTCAACGTTGTTTCCATAGCCAAAGTGAACAACTGGCTAATTCACTTTGTTTAAGCTTTGATGCATGGAGGCCTCATTTATAATACAGCTGAGTAAGAAAATAAAAGATGTAAGAACACAAACACACACAAACTCATGAATGACAATAAAAAATACTACAAGGCAAAACGAGCAAACATAATTAAACCATTAGGAGCTATTGGAGCATTTAAAACAAATGAATGACTGAAACAAGACCAGCTGGAGGTACAATAAAACAAAATAAGAGCCCCAAAGGACAAGAATGAGTCAAACTTAAGAGCTTTAGGCTGTTCTGCATAAACATAATTAAGATGGAGAATCTACAAAACTAAAAAAGTCAGTAAATATATTGATACATGTGTCATGTTCAAAGAAAAATTATTCCACTGGGAAATCTTGTGTCTGCTGGATGCATTGGTAGGTATCATCTGCCATCATCTCCTGGTTTGGCAGCCTCTCATTAGGAGATAAAAAAAAAAGGTTAGGACACATGGTTAAAGTTGCCAGTAAAGTCAGTGGTGTTGTACGACCTGATCTGCCTACAATCTTTTGCAGGAGGGTGCACGCTAAGGCTCAGGATATCATTCAGTGTCCCAGTCATCCCCTCCATACTGAGTTTGAGCTCCCTCTGGCAAGATATTTAGACTGCCAAAGGCTCGATCCCACAGGATGAAAAACTCCTTCATAACACAAGCCATTGCTGCACTGAACTCAGATTTTGGAGGATGACAGTTGTTTTGCATTTGTTTTCTCTGCTGTTGCGTGCTTCGTGTGGTGTCCGGATGTGATCTACTGTGATTGTGTTTTCTGTGTTTTCGTGCTTCTTGCCTGCCTGCCTGCAGAGCAAATTTCCCTCAGGGGACAATAAAGTTAAGTTAAGCATCAAGTTGTTATGGCTGACGTATTAGAAACAGATAAGGTGCTAGTGTATGTTTGCTATTTTGCTTTGTTCCAGTTCATGCTCAGCTGAACTTCATTTTCTATTTATTTTAGAGGGAAAAAAGCATTTTTGTACAGAACGACAACAGAGAATTTTATCTGCTATCAATCCTATCAGTGAAATACGGACTATTTGCAGAGAGAAGTAACTCTTATGTGCATCAGAGTGGCTGCAGACTTGTGCTTAAAATGCAAATCAGTGTTTTAACACACAAATCTCAAATTTCCGGAGATTAACATGAAATTACATCCATCCGAGAAGCGATAAAAGTTATTATCATATATTGACTTTCTGTGGCATTAATTCAGCCTTTGAGATATGCAGTAAAAACACCACTATGATTTGTGTGCTTGTGTGTGTGCGTGTGTGTGTGTGTGTGTGTGTGTGTGTGTGTGTGTGTGTGTGTGTGTGTGTGGGTCAGTTGGCGTGGAGTTCGAGGAGCAGTACAATGGCAGCCATTGTTGAGATCCTGCAGTTATCCTGAACAGATCTGACATTTGCACTGATTTCTCTGGAGTGTTGTACAGAATAATAATCGACTCCGGGGTTTGAGATATTGATCTTGAAACCCACAGTGGAGCCTCACTATCAACAAGTCACCATATGTTTGATTGTTATTTCTGCAGATCTTTCCTATTTTTTGCAGAGAAACAAAGAACAGAACCACAGTTTAGACTGAGTTAGAGGGCTGCACTGTTTAAAAAAACAACAACAAAAAAACATCAAAATATAGTAATATTGTGGCAGATGGGGCATCAAGAACTAATGTAAAATACTAAGAAAATAACAAAAAATAGTAATTCTCCTTCATTTAAATAGTGTTCCAAGCCTTAGTTTTATGTTCTGCATATTTTTGGCTTTAATTGAGGATATTTACATGCTTAAAAAACACGTTTCCTGTGAATATGATCGACTAGTGTTATCATACAAATATTCAAGTTTAATACAGCAGAAAAGTGCTGTAATTAGTCTGGTTTTAATATGTAATATAATGTTAAAATAAAGAAATAAATGGAAAACTTTCAAAAACTGTTCATTAGTTTTCACATGTAGATTTGCATTAAAAAAATCTTGTATTTTTGACAGATTTCTAAAGCTAAAAAAGTATCTCCACCTGTAAAATTACTGAATTTGCTACCATTATTAAAGACAAGTTACTATTAAAATGACAATAATAAACTACTTAAGAAAATAAAGAGGATAATATCAGTCTTTACATGTAAATCTACATAAAAAATCTCGAATATTTCACAGATTTTAGCATCAAAAAAGTATGTTCACCTATGAAATTAATGAATTTACCACCACTATTAAAGGAATCGTGATAGATATGAGTTTTTACACATAACTTTACTTATTTTTAAAGTTATTTTACACAAGACATGCAAATTCACAGTTTGTTTTTGTACTTTTTGTGTGTGTATATTTCAAAAATACGTGGAAAAAATCTGCAAAATGAAAAGGAAAAATGCTGTTCTACTTAGCTAGATTGTTTTCTCCTGACTAGATCCTTGCTTGTGTTGTATCTGCTCTCAGATGTACATCGCTTTGGATAAAAGCGTCTGCTAAATTAAATTGTAGAAATTGTAAATTGTAAAATTACAGTTTTAATTTTTCTTTTTTTGCAGTATATATTTGTGTCAGTGACAAACTATTTAAACTTGAAATTAACTTATGACAATCTTTTGTTTCCTCCTTTCCCTGGTTGTGTGATTTCCTAGGAACTGGTGTGCCTACGTGGTGACTCGCACTGTGAGCTGTGTGATGGAGGATGGCGTGGAGACGTACATCAAACCAGACTACCAGCGCTGCACCTGGGGACAGTGTCCTCGAGTGGCGTGAGTATTTATTCCTCATCTCCACTAATTCACCGTCTGGAATCCAAATCTGTATTCAATCCTGACCTCACATCTGCAGAAGTTTGTACCCTCAATTCATCCCTCATTTCTGCCTCTTTCATCAGCCCTTTTTAATTTTCTCTCCCCTGAGGTTCAACAGTCTGCTCAGGAAGGTGTCTGCTTGTGTCCCGAGCATCACTGCAGGCCTGATTACAGCTCTGTAGTTGTGGCTGGTTAATCTCAGTGATAAAGTGCTGGCGTTAAAGTCTCACGCTCTGCTGCGGTGGAGCTCCAGCCTCTCTGGTGCAGACTTGAGAATATCCAATACTGAAATATAGGAGCAAATTTATTATAGATGGAGCTGCCTGAATGATTTTTCCAAATGTGAATGTTGCGCATGCAAGAAAACATTAATCACGCGTCACTGATGTTTTTCCTCTTTTGAAGTCTTCACGCTGACCGTGGCCTGGCTGCTTGATCCTCCTGCCTGCCAGGGGCCTCGGCCTAAACCTGGGCTATGCTAAGAATGAAGCCAACAGGGGTTTCCAGGCACCACAGTCTCGTCTCCTGCCCTGTAAAAACAATCTCTTCTTCTTCTTCTTACACTGTCTTCCTCTAACTTTGCCCGGCTCTGCCTCCACTTCTCCGAGCCCCTGCTCTTGTTTTTCCTCTGAGAGAACCTCTTTTTCTCACGCTCTCGGAGCAGCGAGCTGGAAGATGAAGTCTTTTTTATGGCACAGAAAAGGCTCTGCGATACCTACAGTGATGTTTGTGGATTGGCGTAAAGGAGGAGAAACCTGCTGAACACTCACAGTCAGAGCTTGTTAACATGCCTGTGACGCCGCTTTAAACCTTTATTGGGCCAACTCTGCTCTATTTATTGCTTTGTTACTGTAACAGAGAGTCTCTTCGGTCGCAGAGCTGAATGACACATTCAGGATAAATCTGCAGCGAAGCGTTCCAAGTACAACAGACGTACTTTTTTTTCTGATGACTCATCTGTGAACAAGAAATCCAGATTTAGCACTGACTAAGTGCGGCGGATTTCTTTCGGAAAATGGGACAGAAATAACATTTAAAGTTTACAAAGCACTCATAATCCAATCTATCATCAGAAGATGATTTGTCGACGTTTCCTGACCTCTAGTGACCCTGTGTTCAGTGCTGGGTTCATTCGCTCGGTTATCAGGGTCACAGCGCAAATTTTAAATCTCATAATGTCACTTATATGAAACAAGTCAACTGGAGTTCAAAGACATAAATCAACAAGATGAAGTAGCTCCAGTCTTGCTGGTAGCTCTGTGAAGCTGACCTTGGGCACAGCTAGCTGCATTCTAGGTAGATGTTAATGCCAGCAGGCTCACAGACTGAAAATGACAGAGTGCTGGTATATTTCCTGCCATGTTCATTACTTTAGTTGAGCATGCAGCATATCTAATCCAAGTATAACAACATCAAAGTCATGTAACTTAATTACGTTGTTATATTTGGAAAGCCTCAGTACTAAATAAGAGAAAACAAATAGATAGACAGGCATGTGATGGAGCCAGGACCATTACATGAAAAGGTGCTAATCGAATACAAGTGTAAGATTATAAATACAGTACAAAATGAAGTATAGAGAAGGGGTGCTTTGGTTCTGGTGGGCCCACAATTATTGTATATTTGAGTAGTAGAATAAGAATAATAAAAGCCATCAGTAAGATGGCTTTTACTTAAGTAAAGGCCATTCAGTGCATCATTGTTCAAAATGCCAACAATCAGCTACTAGTTGGAGTGAAATTCTGAGAAGATGCATCATATAATAATCATCATCTAATAGTAATTTTATTTAATAGTAATTAGGGTGAGCTGAACCTTTGAAGAAGCCTGTAGAAGAGATGCTACGGTGTGTTTTAATAATAAAAAATCCTGTAATCAGCTCAAATCTGCTGACTGGGTAGCTGAGAACATTTTTTTTTTTATTAGCTTGTTTATTATGTTTCCAATACGGCAACCTATAATGCCCTTAAGTATGTTTTCATTAATATTAAGTTACCTTAACGATACTTAAATGATCACAGAGGTCACGTTCTACTGTAAAATGGAAATACATCTGCAGTAAAACACTCGACATGACAAAAAAATATATATTTCTGACTGATCTGACCTTTGCTAACAGTAAAACAAGATCTCAACGTGCGTGGTGAAGCTCAGGTTTCAACTGGAGGACACTTAAAAGATATTTTAACTGTAGCTTATAAACTATGAACCTGTGTAAAGAAACGTGTCATTTAGATCCTGATAAATCCTGTCTCCATGTCAGGAATCATTTATAATTACGAGTAGCCTAACTAATGATATTACCTGTTGGGTTTTGTATGCAAATATGTGCAACTTTCATGCTTGAAGACTCTGTTTCTGTTACTTCTGAAGCCTGCATGTGGACATCGTGGACAGATTACCGCTAAATTGGTGCAAATGCCATGTATATTGTAAAGGAATACAATAAGATGATAGCACCAGAGGAAAAGTTGAGGGAACAATCACTACAGAAGGATTTGCCAGTCTGAACCAAAGGGATGGGTTGACCAACTGAGAGACCAACATTGCCGTCCATAGAGTCAATTCACCAAGTCACCAAGTCAAGCTTCAGTGTTTAATTCCTGAAAACCAGGTCTTATCAGGTCAGAACAAATGAAAATCTGACACTTCCCAAATTTCCTGTTTTTACTCTCAGCTACCGGACATACAGGAGGCCGAGGTATAAGGTCGCCTACAAGATGGTGACGGAAATGGAGTGGAAGTGTTGCCACGGTTACTCAGGGGAAGACTGCCACAACGGGCCCCAGGGGACGACCGACACTCAGGTCAACGGAGGCCGACCTCGAGTCACGCAGACCGGCTACAACCCAGACGGAGGCCAGAGGGGAGGAGGAGAAGGTAAGGACGGTGGAAGGCTCTGTAAAACCCAAACTCAATGCTTTTTTGAGGCTTGACATGCCCAACATCTGTCCACCTTCCCACATGTATCTTGTGAGCTTTTTAAGAATGAGCGAGCGAATGGTTCTGAAAATGAGAACTTTTGAAAAGGTACAGTTACGTTACTGTAAACAGCTCCTGCTCTTAGTGCCCTGGAAAACCTCGTTAAGACCTCGTGTATTTTTTTTAAAGCTTACACCTGAAAAAACACTCCCCAGATTCGATTAGTGACAGCTCCTCGGCTAGAGGGCCAAAATGAACAATCTTAAGCTCAATGATCGGAGACATTTGGAAGAATTTTGAAATGTAATAAGTCTCTGTGTTCCGATCAGCAGGCCAAAGTCAAATCTGTAAAACTCAATCAAAACTTAACATTTTTACTTCCTTGCCTTTAAAATTGTAAATTATAGCAACATAACGACGAGTCAGTGATGTTATTGAAGCTGTTATAAATTGTAGCTGCACACGATTTGATGCAACAGAAATGAAGCAATGCAACCGTTTTAGCCACAGTAGACCACATCTTTACTGGTGTCTATAGTGTCATAGCTGGCAGGGAGCGTTCCCTCAACATTGGATAACATTATGGAGTGGTTTGATCCCCTGCCCCTCCACAGTCGAAGCGTCCTTGGGCAAGACACTGAACCTGAAGTTGCTCCCAATGGCAGGCAGCACCTTGCATGGCAGCTCTGTTGGTGTATGAATGTGTGTGTGAATGGGTGAATGAGAAACACAATGTAAAATGCTTTGGATAAAAGTGCAGACCATCTATACAGAAGCTGTAATACTTTAAAAAATGCTTTAATCATATGTGTGTAGAAAATTTAAAGAAAAAAAATATTTCCAGTAATGTTCCTATAGAGTTAATATAGTGTTTTAATGGAAACATTCAGAGGAAATTCTTATAGATTATTTTCTATGATGACACAGGAGCAACATTCTCAAACCAACATTCCAAAAAATGTCGTCCAGCTCTTAGAGGCCTCACGTGGAACATTTTGCCGATTCGTTAAGGAAACACATAATAGA